TCCCTCTCTCCCCCTCCCTCTCTATCTCTCTCCCTCCCTCTCTCTCCCTCTCTCCCCCTCTCCCTCTCTCTGGACTTTATGTGAAAGTAATAATGCATTACTGTGGGTGAAATGAAGCATTGATTAAAATTCACACTCTTTAGTAACCTTATATATGCTACTCTATTGTTTATTATATACTATGAACATGAAACATACCATTTAATAATAATAATAATAACATTGTTTTGGTATACACAGAGTTTCCCCTTCTGATGCTGATTCCACAGTGAGTGAGCACTCGAGTGGCCGAGACACAGGAGATGAGAATGCAAGGCCTCAAACAGCTGCCAATGACGTGAAATCTCATCGAGTTAACAAGTCTGGTAAGTTACATGCTGTTATACTTTTATATAACATTGAAATGATTTACAGGAATATAAACGCTGTTCATAAATACTAAAATATTACAAATATTGAAACAGATTGATATTTCTCCTGACCATCATTTGCAAAATACATTGATAGGTCCCTGGGTTGTTTGTTTGTTTGTTTTGTTTGTTTGTTTGTTTTGTTCTGTTTTGTTTTTGTATTGATTGTAAATATTCAAAGTGTTCAATAAATGCTTATGTATTTGACTTTGTCAAAACAAATTCTGTTCTGGTTACTAGTTTTCTGGTAAATTTGAATCCTTTTGTATTCCTTGACTAATTTTGTTAACAAATGACTGCTAGAAAGCCCTGTATTTATTTATGCAAATAAATGAAAATATTGCAATAGTAACTGTACAAGCATATAAAATTCTGTCCAGAACTTTATGCAGTAGACCTTCAAGACCATTAGAATATAAGGCATTCAGGTAGTCATTAACTTACAACCATTCATTTAACAACCATTTGAAGTTACAACAACACTGAAATCAATGACTTACAGTTGGGACTTGCAGTTACAACCTTCACAGGATCCCTATGGTTGCATGATCAAAGGTTGAGCACTTGACAATCCACATGCACTTATGGTGACTGCAGTGTCAGGGGGTCATATGATCACTATTTGCAACCTTCCTAGCTGGCTTCCAACAAGCAAGTTGATGGAGAAAGCCAAGTTTGCTTGATGGCCACATGATTAACCTAACAACCCTACATGAGATTCAATTAACCCTGGCAAAAAGGTCATAAAATTGGGCATAACTTACTTAACAACTGTCTTATTTAATAAAGGAAATTCTTATCCCAATTATAGATGTAAATCGAATACTGCCTCTACTTCCAAATTATCTAAGAAGGGTTATGGTATGTCTTTGGTCAAACAGTAGAAATAATTTCCTTGTGTTAACTTAGAATCCTTCTCAGTAATGTATGGCTTTCCTATCATGATTTGGTGAATTATAATGATATCCTTTCTTTTATTTTCTCTGGATGCTATCAGGATTAAACAAAGTGGGTAAGTTTAAAAAAGAATATGAAGCTGGACCTAGAAAATTTAAACATGGAATGAGAGGTTCTTTATAGAAGTAAATGTAATAGATTTTCATTTAGGTGTCTTTACTGTGAATATTGACATGAAACAACTTTATTCTAAATAAACATGTCTATTGGCTCATTAGCAAATAATTGTCTACCATTAACAATTTGCTGTGGTTATGTTCAGATCTTTCATACGCTTAGCTACTTAACTGAAGTTGAATTTCGGATCTTGTGCATGTAAAACCTATGCTTGATCTATAGACTTCTCTTTGCAGCATGTTATTGCATGATGCTTTGCTAATGAAGGAATTTAGAAATGCAAGGTAGCTGGAGAGGGCATTTCTCTAAATTCTTTTTTTATGTGCTGCTTCTCCACCTTTCAGATGGCAACTCTTGCACATTTTAGCAGGATTAAGCTATCTGTAAGCCTGACACCAACAACCGAGGCAGCTTCCCAAGGGGGAGATACAGAGAGAGAGAGATACAGAGAGATACAGAGAGACAGAGAGACAGAGAGAGACACACAGAGAGAGAGAGAGAGAGAGAGAGAGAGAGAGAGAGAGAGAGAGAGAGATTAACAAAGTAAATATGTCTGAAGGAAGATACGGGGAATGTCAGAAAGAGGGATTGGGTGTCCCCACTTAACTGAAGCCCCACTTCAATTAAGTAGCTAGGCATATGAAAGATCTGAACTTTGGGCTCTGACCCTGTTTGCTTAAACTCCTTCCAAAAATTAAAAAGTGCCCTTCCTTGTCCCGGACATTTCAAATATATTCCTAAAGAAAAGTATTTGTTGTGGTTTTATTTGTGCACACATGTGGTTTGACCTCAAATAGGCAGCTGTGCATAAGCTTTCTTCCCCTGCATTTCATCTTCAGCGGACTTTAAAAGATTCTTAGAAGCACTTCAGCCTTCAGGTGACTTCTGTGAGGCTACTGATTTATGAATAAGAGTTGTCTGAATAGAGGTTTTTATCTGTAAAACAGAAGTTTGTAAAGGATCTAGTTTTCCATTATCATAGAAAACAAAGCCTTAATCCTAAATCTCTACCTTACCGGATTTTCTTCTTACTATTAAAATCATATTCATCTCTTGATAATAATCTTTATTGCTTCACTTCAGTCAGTCATTTAAGAGTTGTACATAAAGCCTTCTTTCAGACATAAAACTAAACCATCTTAAAGGTTTTTTCCTCCCTTTCTTGATCTAATTGCAAAGTGAAAATTGGAAACCTTTGGTTCTATATTCAGTTGAATCCTCAACTGTTGCTAGTTTAAATTCAGTTTTTTTAAAATAGTTCAGTTTCATAAAGTAATAAGAAGTAGGTTTATTTTAATCAAATGTAAGTTACCGTATTTTTCAGAATATAAGACGCACCAGAGTATAAGACACACTAAGGATTTAAAGAGGCAGATATTTTAAAAAAGTAGGTAGGTAGATAGAGGGATAGAGAGGGAGAGAAAGAGAGAGAAGTAAAGTAGGTAGGTAGGGAGAGTGAGTGAGTGAGTAGTTAGGTAGGTAGGTAAAGGGATAGAAAGAAAGAGAGAAATAGAGAGAAATAGAGAAATACAGTAGGGAGATAGGGAGAGAAAGGGTGTAGTAGGTAGGTAGAAGGATAGAAAGAGAGAAATAGAAAGAGAGAGAGAGAAATACAGTAGGTAGGTAGAGGAGAGAAAGAGTAGGTAGCTAGGTAGGTAGGTAGAGAGAGAGAGAGAGAGAGAGAGAGAAATACATAGATAGATAGGGAGAGAGAGAGTAGGTAGGTAGGTAGATGTTTCCAGGTGTATTTACCCATGTCCTGGAGAAGCAAATTGCTGACAATCTGCAGCACCTAAGACTTGTTTCTGCTCGCACAGCACTTGATCAATCTAATTCTCATCAATCATTCTAACTAAAGAGCTTTCCAAAAGGAAAAAAAAAGTTTTTGCACTCTGCAAACCTCCCAAAAATGGCCTGTTTTTCATGAAAACGGGCCCGTTTACCCTCCCCGAAAAAAGACATGAATAGCCTTTGGGGGGCTTGCAGGGTGCTCCTGAGGGGTGGGGGGAAACGGGAAAAAACGCCCCATTTTTCATCAAAAAAATTGCATGCATAGCCTTATGGAGGCTTATAGAGTGCTGCTGGAGGCTGGGGGGCAAAAAATGGCCCGTTTTTTGCTCATTTCTTCCCTCCCCGGCCCCAGGAGCTTTCTGAAAGCTTCCATAAGGGTATGTACGGGCATTTTGGTGAAGGGGCAGGGCTTCAGGAGGCAAAAAATGCTGTATTTGATGTATAAGACGCATCCAGATTTTCAGCCTCTTTTTTGAGGAAAAAAGGTGCGTCTTATACTCTGAAAAATAGAGTAAGACATCATGATTCTGTGGTTTGTTATAAGCAAAAGTTAAGTTTCTGGCTTTGTGACCATTTCCAAAAATGAAAGTTAGAGGGCTTTTATAGAATCTTGCTTTCCATAGTAAAGTCATGATCTTGTATTTTGCTGAGATAGTCATCTTGCTCGCTCATACTTTTTAATCTTTTTTTGACATCTTCTCAGCATGACCAAGCATTACTAGAAAAGTCATGTGGCTTTTACTGGCAAAAACCTATAATTCTAGAAAAGCAATAAAAAAGCTAATTTTGGCTTGGGGAGGCATTTTGAAAACAGTTAATCGAACTCGTACAGATACATTAACTTGATATTTATGTTGTAAATTAACTACCATCTTTGGCATTTGCTTTGTTACATAATATAAGAGAGCATTTCAGAGAGAGAGAGAGACATGCGGGAAGTGTTGTTCAATGCATTGCAATATTAATTGCACATCTCATTTACAATAATATATAAACTGACAGCAAACTGCTCTTCTTACTAGCACTGATGGTATTACCTAGTTAGGGTAATGAAATGAATAATATCATGGTTATTAAGGTAGAAGTAGTTTTATTTATATTTCCCACTAATCTCAGCAAACTGATATATATTTGTGAGTGGTTTCTGTTATTATAAGCAATAGAGATAATATTTCCACTGAGTCCCCTCTACCCCAAGGGAATCGGGCTCCTTCCAAGTCTCCAGATTATTGAAAGAACAGCCTATAGTATCAGTTTGCATTGTAATGGGTTACAACGCAAACTTTCATTGTAGCATATTGTTGTGACCTGCCAGTGGCCAGTGAGGCAGAGGAACAGCTGGAGCCTGTTCCCAGTGTGCGCAAGCGCAGAGCTGCCAGAAGAAAAGAACAACTCAGAAATCAGGGTAGACTTGGGAGTAAAGTCACAGGTGGAAGGTGATTGGCCCTTCCCATAGGAAATAAAAGAGAAACGAAAGGGGAGTGGGCTTTTGCAGGAAACAATTAGTTCATTCGGTTGTTAGATTAGTTTCAGGAGTGTGAAGATCTGTCTGTGAATCTCAGAGACTCTGTGCCCAGCCTTTCCTTGCACAGCACCTCATTTGGAAAATATTTATATGGCAGCTTTCCAAGATAGATAAGGTCTGTACTCATAAATATTCCTTTGAAGACTGTTTGCCAGGCCTTGCTGAATGTGAATGAGAAGAATTCACATTCGTTTAATAAAAGGAGTTTTGTCGAGGCCAGGATTCTGCCTCATGCTTTTTGGGGAAGCCTAGGTCAGAACACATGTAGGCTGGGGCATACAGATAGTCCTTGACTTACAGCCATTCAGTCAATGATTGTTTCAAGTTACATCAGTGCTGAACAAATGGTGGTTAAAACCGGTCCCCAGTGTTCTGGTGTCCCAGCACCCCAGTGGCACAGCATCTCCAGGGACCCTTCCCTAACCCTTCCCTGCCTACTTGTGCAGCTTTCCACACTCTCTCATGTTCTCTCACATACTGTTCATGACCCACACCCTCGCATAGCCCCTGATTCCCTCCCTTACCGAGTGGCAAGCACTTTCCTGCTTGTTGGTCTTGGACTTAAAACTTCCTGCTGGCTTCCCCATTGACTTTCTCTCCCTGCAAACTTCCCACGAGCAAAGTAAATGGGGAAGCCAGCAGGAATGGGAGGGAGGAAGATTTCTGATGCTCCCTACCAGGAAAATTCAACGGGAAAGTCGGCAGGAGGTCAGAAGTCACTGCTCCCACTGCTTTTCTGGCCAAACATGATTGTTCTGTTTTTCTGTTTAGGTAAGGAGATATCTATGAAACAGTGACCTAACATGGCATGGGTTGTCTAGTATTACATTCTTTTTTTCTAATTACAGTGGTACTATTCAAATCGTGATTTGCTTTTTGGCCCAGAGCCTTTTGTAAATGTCACATGCCCTGGGATTTGACTATGCTTATTAAACCAATACATTTTTCTCTTTTTATATTTTTATTTGTAACCCAGGCCCTCCGCAGATCACTAATGGAACGCAGCAGCCAACTTCAGCCTCTATCTTTGAGCACGTAGACCGTATGTCCCGATCCTCTGAAATCAGTAGAAGAGTCCCTAGCAAGATCCAACTGATTGCCATGCAGCCAATCGCAGTCCCTGCAGCACAAAACCAACCCCTTTCTGACCGAGTTGCCGAAACCAACAAAATCAATAAGGAGGTACTCTCCTCTTTCATAGCCCCCCCACCTTTCATAGCATACCTCTCACAAGAAGAGTCTGTTTAAAATGAAGCCAACACAAAATTATAGGAATACCTGGAGATATTTTGTTTAGAACTAAAAAAAATATATTAAATGGGTATCAGGTCTGCTCTCTGGAGAATGCATTTCATAAGTGAGGCCCCAACTGAGATGGCTCTCTTCTTGTATCTACTCTGCCTTGAGTGACCTAAAGTTAGTCCTCTGTCACTTTTCCCAAATTACAAATCTCAGGATTCTTTGGGGGAAGGTCATGATGTATATTTAGGACTGTGCTCCTAGGCAACTCTGTGTCAAGCCTACCTATTTCGGGGTCTCCTGTGGCTTTTTAAAATTTTGCTTTGTAAAGTAAAGTTAACCTCCCTATGCCGGATATGACTGTGGCTCCTTCAAGAAATGAGGAGGGGGCCCAAAATGTAAAGGTAAAAATAACTTGTCACAAAGGTGCTTTTTCAAGAGGCAACTGGACTTCCTTTGTTTTCCCTTGAAGATGTTTTGCTTCTCGTCCAAGAAGCTTTTTCATTTTTGACTGAATTGTGGAGAATTGCAAGGAATATAAATCCTTCTGTTCTCCATCATTCCATCAGAGCTGAAGAAGCTTCTTGGATGAGAAGAGAAATGTCTTAAAGGAAAAATAAAGAAAGCCCAGTTGCCTCTTGGAAAAGCACCTTTGGGACATACATGACCTTGATGACTGAGAATCTCCATAGACATGTCAAAATAATTTGGAAATTGCAGGGCACCACATGCCTCCTGTTCTCAACATCAGTAGCTTCTGTGAAAGAATAACCAGGCATGACTCCTGGCCTTGTGGATGAAGCTGAAAAATAGGGTTTTTTTGTCTTTTTAGATTTCCCATGTGCAGAAAGTTTGTTGTAGTAGTTTCTTATATAAGATTGCCTCCATTTTTCTAGGATATTGTGCTCTGGGGATCCTTTACATACATCCAAGTTCTCATATCTGTTTGTTTTTGCTACACTGAAAAAAAATCATATAGTCACACTTGTTAGAGCTACAAGCTCATAAATACATAACCACTACCTCTCACTGAGTGAGATAATTATACTTAAATATTTGACACTATCCATTATGTCTGCTTCAAATGGCCCCTTCATTCAAATGCATTAGAGAATTGTTAAATGAGGGAGAGAAAGTAGATTTCAATTCCTGTAATAGCAGATTCTGTGAAGCAAGATCAATATTTTAGTAATGCGGATGAAAGTAAGAAACAACAGAAATAAATATTGTTTCTCTATACAATTAACCACTTTGCTTTTGTCTTGTCTCAATGAGATTCTGCTGCAGTCACTCCTCAGACAGCCATGCAGGAAAATTACCTGTAATTGGATGTCCAAAACAGAGACACTTCCACATAAACCCAAACACCATTCTTATCAGACTGATAATTCTTAGCTTTATACAAGCACAGTCTTTTTTTTTACATAAGCTTTTACCATAGCCCGGATTCTCTCTGATTCCTTTGCTGCTATGCCTCTCCGACAGGTTTCAGGAGATGCAATTTGCATGCTGTTTGTCATGCTCTCGTATTAATATGCTGTGCTCTCTCTTCTTCTGATTGTCCTTGCTGTATGAATCATACAGGGCATGATTTCCCTACCTGAAGTTACATACTGGCAAGCATTCAACATTTTCTTCTCTTATTTTCCTTCTCCTGTCTGATCCATTTTGATCGTGTCAGAGGAAAAAGCACCAATGTTCCAAAAGAGGTTTAATGCATCTCCCTATTTTATTTTCTTGAAAGATACAGACAGCTCTGAGGCATAAATCTGAGATTGAGCATCACCGTAACAAGATCCGGCTACGTGCCAAGCGCAAAGGACATTATGAATTCCCAATTGTGGATGACGTGGTTATCATCGATACCAAAGAGCAGCAGCAGATGTACCGCAAGGCACAGATGCAAATAGATAAAATCTTGGACCCGAGTGGCAACATGCCAACTGTTTTCATAGAACCCAGGAAGAGGTAAGATGGAGAGAGTGGCATTCATTCCCATTAATTTAGAAAATGTGTACATCCCTGAAAATATCAAAGAAAGTAAAGAAAGAAACGTTAAAATATTTTATGTTAGACTCCTAAAGTATTAAGATTGTTAAAATATTTGGTGTCGTGTTTCATCTATAAATGTCTCACTTGGGAAGGCACAAGGAGAAAAGAAATTAAGGCAACAGAATATACTGGGCAATAAAAGGGAGCTATGTATTTCTTTTCTTGAAATTTGCCTCCTAGATCCTCCAAGATCTTCAATTTTCTTGAGCATGGCTTCTCCCTGATTAATATTAAGATGTACAAATGGGAGATCTATTTCTGGTGAATAAAAGCTGGCATCTGCTATAAACAAGGCTCTTTTAAAGGTGTAACATTGATTGCTGAACCTTCGTGTTTTTTTTGGAAACAGATCAATGCTATTCTGTTTGATAGGGCCGTCTATTGTAATTTGTTTCTCTGGCTTTGTTTTCTGTGTATTTTAATAAGTTAGTTTTGAAAATCACATCTTAAATATGCTTGTTCTTTGTTTATTCTTATTCTATACTTACTTCAGAGCCTCTTTTGGAGAGGAGGCAGGATAAACTGATTAAAATGAATAATCTATTAATGTTTTCTCAAATCAGTGGCCCATATAAAATAAGTAAATAAAATGTAAACACCTGCCAAGATACCACCAACAGTTTTGCATTTATGCCAGTATTTAGAAATGTGGTTCATTTTACAATAATATCTAAACTAGGCCTATCAAATGGAAAACTAAATGAATGTTCTAGTTAATGTATTCAAATTTCAGATGTTGATGATGATTCCCTTGAGAATTTGGATAAGTGAGAGCATATCACAATTAAGCTAGCTATTTACCGCATTTTTTAGAGTGTAAGATGCACCCCCCCTAAAAAAAAAGTGGGTGGAAATGTCTGTGTGTCTTATACAGCAAATGTTACAGAAGCTCTACCCACCTGCCAGCCCCCACCATTTGGCCTCCTTGCAGCCAACAGCATGGTCAGTTTCAGCACAGTCTGATTTAGCATGAGCAGCTGATTGGCAGTTGGATCTGCCTCTCGGAATACCTCCAATCAGCTGTTACAGGCTGTGGTAATCGCTTGTCCCATTTTCGGCCTCCGCACATCTCATTTTCGGCCCATTCCAGGTAGTGGAGATAGGCAACAGTGGCAGTGAGCCCTGCCACCTGGAATGGGCCCAAAATGGGACATGTGAAAACCAAAAATGGGGCACTCAGAGGCCAAAACTGAGATGTACAAAGGCCAAAAATGGGGTGCACATAGGTAGCAGCAATGGGCAGCAGTGGCGCTGATGGGCAGCAGCTATCCCCACAGCCTGGAACAGCTGGTCAGAGGTATCCCAGGAGGCAAATCCAACCGCCAATCAGCTGCTCATGCTAAATGAAGCTGTGCTGAAGCTGACCAGACTTTTGTTGTTTGCTGCAAGGAGGCATATTGCTGGGAGGCAGAGGCAGATTTTCTTTTCTTGTTTTTCTCCCCAAAATCTAGGTGTGTTTTATACTTTGAAGCATGTTATAATCTGAAAAATGCAATATTTATGTTTATTCCATTATATTATTCATGTCCCCTCATCTGCCAAAAACTTTTGCTGCAGTTGCAAAAACAAAAGCAATAAAAAATAGCCTATGAAATGGGAAGTAATGGTAGGAATAAAAATTCCAAGCCAAACCGTCCTTAGATAGATTGCCTTAAAATTTGAAGAGGCTTAGATAAAAGATGTTTCACATGCTACAAACTCTTTGCGGTAATGTTTCATGGTATTAAGAACACAATTTAGACAATGCTGGCAAGTCTCAAGGCATTTAAAGAAACTATTTGTTCTTTAGTTCACGGGCAAAACGATCCCCAAAGCAGCGTCGGAGGCATCAGATGAATGGAAGCCCAATGGATGCCGACAAGGACAGGCTAATCACAACGGACAGTGATGGGACATATAAAAGGCCTCCTGGTGTCAACAACTCAGCATACATTGTATGTATAGATCTTTAGGAAGGGTACATATGATAATATATTGCAACATCCAACTTGCATGTAAATGTTGCATGACTGTATGGTGAAGATTGTAAATGTTGCGTGACTGTATGGTGAAGATGTAAAATTGTTTTGTTCACAGTTATTTGAAGAGCCCTGATTTATAGATGTGTCTCAAATCTATTTTCTGTCTTAGAAGTGAAGGCATAACTAGGGACTCAAAAAAAGGGGGGGGTCATGCACTGGGGTGCCACTTATACTTGGAAGCCTAAGCCACAATGTCCAACCCATTAGTCAGTACAACAATTCTAATTAAAACATTGGCCTATCTGCTATTTCCAGTGAAAGGGGAGACCTGGGTAAAAAGCTTTCAATTCTTTGTTTTGCAATCTGTAATTTAAATCAGTTATTCCTGACCTGTCTCATTCTCTCATATGATAAAGTCTGGGCTGTCTTCTGGGTGACAAACTATTTGAAGAGTGCTGTCATATCTCCCCATTCATCTTTTCACAAGGCTAAGCATTCCCAGTGCCGTTAATCTCCCTTAATAGAATTTATTAGTCCCTAATCTTACTTGTTGCCTTTCTCTTAATTAGTCCACTTTTTCTGAATCCTTCCCATTTTTAGCTGCCACTGACCAACATGGCTTTCCTCCTACTGTATTCAAAGTGAAGTATAATCATTGCAGAACAAAGTGAACAAATATAGTCTTAAATCTACTTTGATTCAACCTTTAAAAAAGGTTATTTGCTACTCTACTGATTCATACCCGGTTTACAAATGACCTTTTTTTATGTATTGTTTTTCACAAGTACAGTTTCTGGATCAGATATACTGCACTTAGAATTCATTTTTGATTCTGATTCCTTAGCATATAACTTTGTATTTGTTTCATTATTCTTAGCAATTTCTCTAATCTGTCAAGATTGCTTTGAATTTTGTTTTGGTAAACTTGGGTATTAGGGTATTTTTGAATGATCTGCAAATTTGATAACTATTCCTTCTTCCTTGTTATTCGACAAGGAAAAATGACTACCAATGTAACACCTCATTGGGTACTTTCCTTCACTTTGATAAGGAATCATAGCTGAGTGTTCCTTGAATAAGATTTTTAAACCATTTCTGTATTTACTTCCTTCTCATGTTATTCAGCCCATATGCAATGAGCTTGCTAATCAGAATGTCACTTTTTAAAATGCGTTGCTGTAGTCTTCCTTCACCTCCCTCCCATATTTAAAAAGTTCACAATCCCAAAACAGTTCTGGCCATATAGTCCAGGATTGCTATATCACCATTATTTCCCCATAAACTGCATAGGAAGATTAGAAGACATGGTTAGCTCATTGCTCAGTGAAGAAAGCTTCACCTGTTGGTACTAGAAATATTCTTGCAGCGAGGGAACCGGTTCGGCGGAGTGGCAGGTCTGGGTCGCTGCTGGTTCTGTGACACAGGCCTGAATTCCACTACCGGTTTGGCCAAACTGGGAGCAACCCACCTCTGCTCCCCTCTCTGGAGAAGGAGATACTGCTAATGATACTCAGAATATTCGCAATAAAGTTTGCATGATGTAACACGTAGATGCTGTTATGACAAATAATACCACACTCAAATCATTACTTAGATAATGTGTTTGTTCTTGTCCCCCCCCCCATCTTTTTTTCCCAGTCTGATCCTGACCTTCCTGCAGATCCCCAGACTCCTTCTTCAACTGAATTGGGGAAATACTCAGGCCTGCCTTCCCATGCTCTCCAATATGTTCCTCCTCAGCCATCTATTGAAGAAGCCCGGCAAACAATGCATTCTCTCCTGGATGATGCTTTTGCTCTGGTGGCTCCCAGTACCCAAGCATCCATCACCCATCCTGGAGGGTCAGGAGGACAGTCAACAAGCACTCCTGTTCGGGCTCCAAGAGACACCCCCAGCAGTCAGTGGGGGTCACCCTACAGCCAGGCTCATACAGTTAGTAGTCTCATTGATGCTCATCTCAAGAGCTTCTTTGTGAGAAAGAATAGTTCCTTCTGTCCCCAAGAATTTGTTTTTCCTTCTTCTTCTTAAAGGTATCCTAATTTTCTGCTTCTCAGTATCTGCCCAATTGTGTCAGAGTTTGGAAGTTAAATAAAATTGGGTCTCATTAGTAACTGAATGGAAGACATCCAGGGAAGTGCCAAGTTATAAATTAGACTAGAATTTTTTTTAAAAAAAGATGCAACATTACTTCTTTACTATCAACAGAAAATTGAATGATTATGTCCTCGTGGACATCAGGAATTAAATTCATGGGCATCTGCATTAATGCTTTAATAGTTAGTATTTAAATTTTTGAAAATATGCTTATCAAAATCCTTTCTTTTCTTTTTCTTTTTAACCCATTATTGTTTTCTTGTATTTTATTTATATAACATTGTTGTCTTTTCTTTTGCTAAGATTGCCATTTTCTGAATATGGCTAACTTTTTTGTAACACAGGATGGGGAACTATGGCCCCTTTATGATTCGTGGACTTCAACTCCCAGAATTCCTGAGCCAGCATGGAATTCTGGAAGTTGAAGTCCACATGTCATAAAGGGGCCATAGTTCCCCATTTTTGTTGTAGTAGATTTGCTTTGATTTGCTTCTATAATATAATATAATATAATATAATATAACATGCTGACCATTTTTTTTTTGATTTGGTAAAAGTTTTCTTAACTTAAAGTATTCAATATTTGGAAATATTTTAGTCTCTTAATTTTTCCTTTTGAATTCTATTTCACAATACCCTAATTATTTAAGGAGATATTGTCATGGGTTTCCCCCCTCCCCTGACCTATGGTCTTTTTTCAGAGATACATGGATTTTGGGATGACTCCACCTTCAGCTCCAGGCCTGTTGCAGAGGTACTTTGCTAATTATTTGATCGGTATATTTGTAGAAAAAATATTTCTTTTTCTAAGAATGATAAATACCTCTTCTTTCTTTTGAACCAAATTGCAAGCTTGGTAGATGCCAGAGAACAAGCTAGAGCACTCCACCTACACAATTTGCTCCTTTCTCATTCTGCTAACATTTAATTACATGTGTTTTGATGCATTTCCTTATCTTTAGAATAGAATATGGCAGGGCAGGGCAGGGCAGAGTTGGAAGGGACCTTAGAGGTCTCCTAGTCCAACCCCCTGCTTAGGAAACCCTACACCACTTCAGACAAATGGATATCCAACATCTTCTTAAAAACGTCCCGTGTTGGAGTATTCACAACTTCTGGAGGCAAGTTGTGCCACTGATTAATTGTTCTAACTGTCAGGAAATTTCTCCTTAGTTCTAAGTTGCTTCTCTCCTTGATTAGTTTCCACTCATTGCTTCTTGTCCCAACCTCAAGTGCTTTGGAGAATAGCTTGACTCCCTCTTATTTATGGCAATGATGACAGCCAGGGAACTGAGACATATGTACACAAATGCATCTAGTAAATGCATGGATAGATAACTACTTAAGCTATTTTATTAACTTAGTTATTAAGGTAACTACTTAAGATATTTAAAGATATTTAAATATATTTAAAATATATTTAAAATATTTAAGATATTTTATTTAAACTTAAATAAAATAAGTTTTATTTATGAGTGAATGGGTGGATGAAGGAATGTATTTCATTGTTTTTCTACTAGCAGGCAAAACCTTGGATCTGGCTTTCTTCCACCTGTTGAATTAATACATCCAGACTCACAGCCATCAGATGTCCAATATTCCACTCGAGGCATCTACCCAGAGGAAATGCCATCAGTGGCACGGCCACGACCAGTTGGAAGCACTGCAGGTAACCCTTTCTAAGGAATCCATATTGCAAAGAGTCTTATCTCCTAAAAATTAGCCACCATTCGATGGTTAAGTTAGACCTCAAATCTAGACTATAAAGAAGAGACATGATTAGTCCCCTTCTCATTTTAGCTCAGTAAATCGTGTGCCTGCACTGGGGAAGATCTGGATGGTCAAATACACAAATGTTGCACTCCCAGCAAAATAATTCCTCTAAGCCTCTGCGTGAACCCGTCCATATTTGGGGGATGGATTTACTTTTTCTTAATCCAACTCAGTGGGATTACCGAACCGGTAGTGATTTGGCGGCTTGCCACACACCCCAAACCGGTTCTCCAGGCAGCGCCATAGGCACCGTCACCTTGTTTTTTGCTTCTGCATATGCTCAGAACAATTTTTATTGCACGGCGCATGCGCACACACGGCGCACCCACGAGCGAACCGGCAGTAGTGACTGCCGGAACCTACCCCTGATCCAACACAGCAGTACAGTTTCAACATATGTATAGATCTATAGTTTGTTTGCATACAATATCGATGTTGAAGAGAAAGCAATAAAAGATTCAAGAACTTTCATAATTCCAAATGTTAGAGATTGCCCTTCATCCATATTCCCCCAAGAGGCTTTTTAGTATGAAAACGACTGTAAAAAGTACAAAAGAATTCAAACATTAGCTGGGGGGCTGGGGAGGCAAAGAGTAGGATAGAATTTTGTAAGAACTGTGATATTTCCTTGCCACAGAAGCAAGGAAAGTGCCTACAATGCCTATAAGTGCCTATAATGCACTTAGAGATAGAGTTAGCTAGTGGACCTTTCAGCATGTGTTTTGATTTATTACATGAGATGAAAAGGTTGCCTTGGGAACTAAGTACTTCCAACTGCCATTTCTAACAGATGAAGAATGGCGACTTCTCTCTTATCTATCAGAAACCAGACCAAGTGAAAAGTGCTACATTTGCCTTTCCAGACGAGGGCATAGTTCATACACACATCTAAAAACAATTATATGTATGCCATCATATCTATGAAAAGCAGCCTGCATGGCTGTAAGCCCTTGTTTAGTTGTTGTTGTTGTTGTTTTTCCCTTTTAAAATACAGATACTTCTTAACTTACAACAGCTTGTTTAGTGTTGTTCAGAGTTACACCATCATTGAAAAAAGTGACTTATAATGGTTCGTCACACTTATGACCATCGCAGCATCCCATGGTTACGTAATCAAAATTCAGATGCATGGCAACTGGTTCATAGTTATGACGGTTGCTCTGCCCCGAGCTCACGTGTTCTCCTTTTGTCACTTTCAGACCAGAAAAGTCAATTGGGAAGCCAGATTCACTAACTTAAGAGCTGCAATGATTCACTTAACAAGTGTGGCAAGAAAGATAAAATGGGGCAAAATTCACTTAACAAATGTCTCACTTAGCAATGTAAATTTTGGGCTCAAATGTGGCCATAGGTTGAGGGCTACTTGCTGTGTTTCTCAACCTGAGCATATTTGCTGGGGAATTCCTGTAATCTGAGTCCATCCATCTAAAAATTGCTAAGATTGAAAAACACTGCTTTCTAATAAACAAAAGAATATATAAAATCATCCCAAATTATCATCTGAGTATGTTTTAAAACAGGGGTGTCAAACTCTATTTCATTGAGGGCCGCATCAGGGTTGTGATTGACCTTATGGGGGATGGGATGGGTGTGGCCAGGGTGGGTGTGGCCAGCATGACATCACTCGTGTCGGGGTGCCTGTGGCAGCCTGAGCACTCTTCCAGTGAGAACGGGCTCCCGAGCTCCATTTTCAGCTGCAATGGCCTCCTGCAACCCTCTGCCAGAGAAAACTGAGCTTGGGGAGGCCACACACGACCCCTGTCAGCTCCGTTTTCAATTGGGACGGCCTCCTGCAACCCTCTGCCAGCAAAAATGGAGCTCAGGAGGGCCCCTCACGAGCTAGTTTTTCGCTGGCAGAGTCACTGTGGGCCAGTCCTTCTCTCTTTCCAGGACAGCCCTGTGGGCCAGATCTAAGAACCCTGCAGGCCAGATCCACCCCCCAGGTCTTGAGTTTGACACCCCTGTTTTAAAAGGTAAACACAGGGCAAAATGTCTGTGCATTATCTAACTAATATCACTGGGTATCGTTTGTATAAAATTAGCACTAAAAACAACTCAAGACTTCAGTCTCATTCAAGTCAGAGATCCTTATTCTAGGAGATAGTCACTAAAAACAGAGAGTTTCAATAATCTCTTCTAACAGAGTTTTGACCACACACAGACAGCCCAGTTTCATCCCTCAGGGCTCCCTCAAAATAAGTAAAGCCAAACATTTTTCCATGGGGGATTTTGGGGTGCTTTTAAAAAGTAAGTTCTTGCAGAAATTTAAAACTGTAACAGCGCAGCTCAAAATATTAAGTGGCCCTTTTTACTCATTTGTGTGGGGTTTAATGGGTACAAGGGTTGATTTAATCTCAGCCCCATCTTCTATTCACAAAGGAACATACCCGTATTTTTCGGAGTATAAGACGCACATTTTTCCCTCAAAAAAGAGGCTGAAAATCTGGGTGCATCTTATACACTGAATACAGCACTTTTTGCCTCCTGAAACCCTGCCTCCTTCACCAAAATGGCCATCCATAGCCTTATGGAGGCTTTCAGAGAGCTCCTGGGGGCTGGGCAGGGTAGAAATGAGCAAAAAATGGGCCATTTTTTACTTCATTTTGCCCCCCAGCCCCCAGAGCACTCCATAAGCTTCCTAATGCTCTTTTTTGAAAAAAAAAGGGGGGCGCATTTTTGCAAAAGAACGGGCCATTTTTGGGAGGTTTGCAGAGTGCAAAAACTTTTTTTTTTAATTTGCCTCTTCAAAACCTTGGTGCATCTTATACTCTGGTGCATCTTATACTCCAAAAAATACGGTAGATATAAAAACTGTTCTCCCAAAAAGTGGATTCTGCTTTGACTGTGCAGCTGAGTATCCTAAATTAAGCAAATATTTTCTTGTATCGAAGGCAAATTGCTAGCATGAAGTACATTCTCCTAAACTGCACATTAATGATGATTAAATATTGATAGGTCAGAAATGTTGCCTTTCTGACCCTTTCTCTTCCCCTCTTCTCTGCTCTACCACATTTGCCTTCAGCATGTTCCTTTAAAAAAAAAGAATCACACAGAAATACCCTCCACTTGGGGGAGGAAAAAAACACATTGAAAAATTTGCATGCAAGCAGATGTTTTTTTTTTAATTTATCCTAATTTGTCAATCTTTCCAAAAAGTTAATTGAATCATTTTTTTCCCCTGAGCCCCATTTCTTTGGTTATGTCTTATCTCCCCAATCCCTGTTTCTCAGATTGTTTGCCCCTCACTCTTCCGATGCTGCATGGTAAGATGAAAACAAAACAATATTTGCTTTTAAGGTTCTCAGATACAGCACCTCACTCAGGTGGGAATTGCTAGCAGGATCGGAGGTCAACCAATGGAGATCCCCTCAGGCAGAGCAGGGCATGGCCAGCCAGGGGAACAAGGGTGGCCCCCATACCGTGGAGAGGATGAATTTGCTAGGAGAGAAGCAGTGAGTACTGTGCTTCATGTTTGAATAGTTTCTGAAGCAGTCTTGTGTTTCCTGAATTCAATTTTTTTAGTTGCTTCTCTGGTGTTTTTTTTTTTTAGCTGCTGCTTTTGTCTTTTTCATACTTCAGCCCTTAAATCTCTGCTTTTTTTGTCCTTCTCTTACTCAGCCTTAGCTCTCATCCTTTATGCCAGGTTAGGCCACCTATTATTTATCCTGATCGGCATCAGCCAGCAGTGCGGTATCTAGGAAGCCTCAGGTTGCCCATTTCTCCTTATGCTCTTAGTGAAGATGGCTCCTCTGAACATGTCTTTCTGAAACCACTGTCTCCGTCAAACCTCACACCCATCTGAAAAAAAAAAATCAAAATCCCTTGGTTGGGGTGATAGAGAATTGTGGCTTTCTATCCTTGGAAAGACTTCAGATGAGACTGAAAAAGGTTTTACTATTACAAAATAAAAGCCATGTCTGTTGTGGTGTTCTATGAAGTTTTGTTTTTGCAAGCTAATTCCATCGGTGCAAAATGCTGTTTTTAGAGCATGGCTTTCTCATTGAACTGTATGTTTGAATTATCATGAGTTCCTCTTTATCCCTCCCTATATGGTAGGGGTATGTCTCATTCATATTCCTTACATGCTTGCTCTCCCCTGAGTCAAAGACTATTCTTCACCTCCACCCCAGACGGTAGTTGACCCATCACCTTAATTCATGCCCTAGGCCAGTGTTGGCAAACCTTTTCGGCATCGAGTACCCAAACCGGAAACCCAAAGACCAGATGACCGGTGCGCATGCATGTGCTGGCCACCTGGTCTTCAGGTTTCCAATGCCCACATGTGCACCAGCCAGCTGGTCTTCGCATGTGACAGAGCGCCGGGAACCCAAAGCCCAAGTGGGCGGCCCGCACATGCGCACTGTCCAGCTGGTCTTCAGGTTTCCGATGCTCTGGGGCACACCAAGACCAGCTGACCAGTGCGCATGCGTGTGCCAAAAACCAGAACAGCGGATGGCGTGCGTGCTCATAGAGAGGGCTCTGCGTGCCACCCCTGGCCATCACAGCTCTAGGCTGTTATGTCCTATAACTCTAAAATAAAAATCTTCCAAATTAATGGGCAAATAATGGTGCCCTGGTTGGTGATGGATGTGCCTTGACAAACAGTGAGGAAATAAGAGGTCTCAGATAATAGACCAAAACCTGGTTCATTGTCAGTGTAATAGCAGAGTCTAAGTCAGTTGTTTTGTCAGTTTATATAGAATGAAAGAAATTAGCTGGTGCAGAATCTTTTGATTAATCAGCAAAATCCATTTGGCCTTCTCTTGTTATTTTCCTTTCTAAACCTGGCAGGTTATGTGTTCTTCTGGGGTTCTCTCAGCAGCTTCTTTCTTTCAGTAGTTTAAGGTAGTATTTTCAGTTTTATCCCTACTACACTGATTGAGCCAGATCTGAAACAGGGCCAAAATACTTGGCAACGTAAGTCAGAGAACAAGGTAGAGTTATTTCCCCCTTTCTATGCACAGAAGCTGACCTAATTGTTTGTTCAATTTTATTACAGTATTGGTGATAGGGGGTTTCACTCTCCGTTTCGCCTAAGGGAGGACGAGCGAATTAGGAAATTAGCGCAGCCCCTGTAGCTCTATCGTACAACACGGTAGACAACTAAAGCATCAAAAATTGCTTGGCTTCAGCCACTGCTTCTGCCTCTGGCCAGTCTTAATATATGTATACGGTGCTCTGAAAGATAGAATTGAATTCCTTCCTCTCACCTGCAGATTCCCACTGGAGTAAACTCTTAGGTGCCTGTTTTCCTCTATTGCAGCACTTAGCCAAGTCTGTCTCTTCTGCATGCCATTGCCATTGTTAATATTGTGGCCTCAGTGTTTCTTTGCAAGTCAGTCCTTCCTTCCTTCCTTCCTTCCTTCCTTCCTTCCTTCCTTCCTTCCTTCCTTCCTTCCTTCC